GGTATTGATGTAATTTAGAGGAAGTATTGATGTAATTAAGAGGGGGTATTTATGTAATCGAAATCGAAGCTAGCGAAGACTTTATGAGTTGCTAGCAAGTCCTCAGTAACGCTATTGATTTCAAGTAAGAAGTCGATACAAAATTTCATTCCAATTGTAACACTGCACAAGCTCAGTCCAATATAACAATTGTTCCAGTTTCCAAACCACTGCTGTTTATTTACTCTCAAGAGTTGAACATCAGAGATGCTCAAAATATATCAAAACGGCAGACCTACCGTGTAGCATTTAAGGGGCATGATGATTCAGAAACATCGGGCCTGTTTAAATCAAAGATGTAAACGTGATGCTTCGCACCGTACGTTCCGATGTTTTGTTATTTATAAATGATTGGTCGTTGGGCTAAAAACGTGTAGTGATGTACCATTTACTTCTAGTGGTCGGGATATGAGCACTAACTCTTTTCCTAGCCCTGTATGGCTTATGGTTATAGCGCCATTAGTCACTTTCTGAAAAAAGAAAGAAAATAAGAAAGAAAGAAAAGGACGTAGGAGAAGGGAAATGGTGGAATCTTGCCTTGTATGAAAACTTAGAAAAAGTGGGTCTCTAAGCAATATACATTTTCCAACGCTGATCACGAAAAGGTGAGAACTAGATTAGATTAGAACTTCTTTCCTGCTGTACTACTGTTGATTCAAAGACTATTCCAAGATTTCTCCGGGCTATTTACAAACTAGTTAAAACACAAAAACAAGGAACTTTCAAATACAAAAACATCACTGAAGACATCAAACATCTAAAGCCAGAAAACAAGGCACTAGAACGACTCTCTTGCCGAACGAACCAATGGGCAAATCTGTGCCTGAGCTTGGCCATTCCCACTCGTTTCATACGTTTGAAAATACCGCGCTCGACATTTCTCAACAAATTACAGCAAGAAATAATATCTAAGACAAAGCAGTAGAAAACTGATAAAAGGTGCCAAAACAGGTGAATAAATAAACAAGAAGGAACTCACCAATTGAAAGAAGGTTTACCCGTGAAGCTAAAACTGGAAATACCGTTGAATCTCCGAATTCTAGCTCCACATGTCGCAACAGTTCATCCACACAATCCGCATTCAAGCAGAATCATCGGGCCAGCCTGACAATCACCTGATAAAAAAACACTTTGGAATGCATTTCACCAGATCACTTTCACAGGCTTTGCACTAAAGTTCTTTTCTAGAATTATGTCATCACGTGGCATATTGTTTCGAGCTTTAGTCATGAAAAAATCAATTTTAGAAAGAAAAAAAAACCGACAATTTGACACTGCGTTCGTTTCAATATCGAAGAGATTTTCATTTAACAAAAAACTACGTGGACAGTACCTGCCCCCCCCCCCCCTTTCTCCGTAGACACGCATATACATTTCAGAACCACCCCCACCCCCTAACTGTCTACGTAGTTTATTGACATATCATATCAATGAGAAAGTCATGCAAAGAATGTATCGTCATATCTTCGAATGTGTCGCCGGCATTGCATCCGGCTCGTTGTACAAACTACGGAGCAACCTTTAACTAGAAAATCCTGCTTCTTGCTTGTGTAAATCATCTAATAAGCCACACTACTGCCAGCCATTTCGGATGACCATGATGATGCACGCAAGGTAGATAGAATGGATTTTACCTTCTTGTGAAACTCTTCTACTGCCATTATACTTATAAATGTCCCACCTAGGGGCAAGCCAGCTGTACCATAGAGGTAAGTCTAAGACCAGAAGGTCCCGAAGAAACGTGCTCAACTTTTTGGCTCAGCTCTGGTACTATCTTCGGTCCCAAGCTAATCGATGCACCCCTCAAAACATAGGAAAATCCACGAGCCCCTAATTTTATCTGTCAAATGTCGATCATACTAGAATTTCAACTAGAATGGGGTACGCTTATAGATGTACTTGGGACCAATAGGCTAGTCCAGTAGTGAGCCAATTTAAAATTGTTAGTTTCCAACGGTCCGCTGGACTCCGAGCTAATATTTTTATATCGAGTAAATTTGAGTTGCTCATAATTACTTAAAAGTGATCAAAGTAGTCTCATAGAGGTAACTCTAAGACCAGGAGGTCCCGAAGAAACGTGCTCAACTTTTGGCTCAACTCTGGTACTTTCTTAGGTCCCAAGCTAATCGATGCACCCCTCGAAACATAAGAAAATCCACGACCTCCTCATTTTATCTGTCAAATTTCCATAGCAATACAAAACAAACATAGCGCAGTACTTAAATTTCGACTAGAATGGGGGACGTTCATCGATGTACTTGGGACCGATAGGCTAGTCAAGTAGTGAGCCAATTAAAAATAGTTAGTTTCCACCGGTTGGCAGTCCCGAGGGTAGTCCTATGTCAACAAGTGAAATCAGTTTGAATAATCATCAACTGTCATCAGTTTGAATAAACATCGCCGGCAATCCAACGAACACTTGTGATGAAGTACCGGGACCGATTCCGGAAATGGTGGATGAAACTGTTCCTATGCAATCAGCAAGGCTGCCTATAGTGTACCGTCAATTAAAGCGAGATAGTGAACTGGTATGGCAGATTCGTGGCTATGTGGAACTTGTCCCGACATGATAATGTGCTTCCTTCTGACTATGTCGGTCTTTGACAGAACCGATAAGAAGATACCTCCTTAACGGTTAGGGGGCGCAGCATCCTCAGCCCATCACCTGTATCTGCGTATCACCATTTCACTGCGGTTGTTCATGCTTTAGTCAGCAATTGACCGTTAAGTATGGCTGTGTCGTCGGCCTTGCAGTACCGAGATTTGTCAATGTCATTGACCCACTTTCGCGCGATATAGTCACTGATATATTTCAGGGGAAACATGTCAGAAGGGTCTAACTCGAACCGTAAACAATGACTTGGATCGTCGATTTCTTACGAATGACAACACACCCATCTGACAGTAAAATGTTTGTTCTATGAGCTGGTGTAGTCATATTTCGTGGATGTGTGGTCATTCAAGAGAAATCGACGTTCAAAGTCATTGTTTACGTTTCGAGTTATACCTTTCTGACAAGTTTCCCCTGATTTGATCCTCAAAAAAACCTTTGTCAAAATCTTATTCATTTTTTCGTCAATGACAAAGATTCACCTGGCAACAAAACGTAATTTTGTGCATGCTGTCTATCAAATTATTGTTATCCGAGCAGTTCAGAACGTAGATGCTTGTTCACGGGTCCATGTAATTATTTTGCTCAAGTCATGTAATTTTGTTACAAATTTAGCTAATAAAAAATCTACACATGTTCGTCGCTCTAGGAGCTTAATGAAAGGTGACACACAAGGAAGAAGTATTAGCAACCGGTGAACACTCGTGTTTATTTCAGTTACCGTGGGGACGTAATTTGTGATTAGCCCCGGTCCCTTTCAAATTGTATCATTATTTATGTACGGTCCTTATATTTGAAATGACGTTTCCCATTCATCTAGGGATGGCCGATTTTCATTCGAATAATTGATTAATCGATTAACGAACCGAAAAGTAAAATATATGTAATCGGTTATATCGTGCCGATATAAGCATTAACATCTGCATATGATCATCACCACCGATCGTTTCAAACATGTGATGCACTCTCATTGGTTGAAAAATGGCAGCACAGCGAACAAAAAATAATCGATTAGTTGTTAATCCAGTAATTAAAAAATGGGACATCTCTGATTTTGGTGAGTTTGTTTTGATAAAAATGAGCGCAAAATTTCATCTCTACCAAGGGGGCAGCAAAACCACAAAATTACGTTGAATACGGGGGGTATTCATTGGATGAAAGGGACCGTGAAAGAGGACACTAAAATAGAAAGTTTTTCTTCCGACAGTTTCATCTTAGTATTCATCTTTGGTATTAGTTTGTTTACTAAAATGAACTATGCCCATTTTGTTATGGCAAGTTTTGCTATAAGAAATGCTCCTCGTGTTTATTAGCGAAATTCACATCAAAGATTGATTAATTGCGTAGGAAATCAGTTTGGCACGGCATTTGTGACCAGCATACACCTTCCGGTCGTATGAAACAGGTCAAAAACTGTCCAAATCCACAGATAAAAATTTTTGTTTTGAATTTCTGTATGGCAAAATAGTGAACTTTTCGTGAACATTAACGGTAAAGAACTCACCAGCACTGGGAGACCGTGAGTTCCTGCCCACCTGTCTTAAAATCATCTCGTTCGTCGCTGATAGCATTGTCACTGACAGCATTGTCACTGACAGCATTGTAACTGACAGCATTATTACTGACAGCATTGTCACTGACAGCATTGTCACTGACTATTGACATGATTTGCCTTGACGATCAGTGGCACGGATTTAAAAATATTGATGAATATTTTTGTAAAAGTTTGTTCAAAATTTATGACCAAACAAAAACTGCAGTGAGTAACATGGGAGAGCAATAATAAAAGCAATTGGTCTGATTTAAAAATTAAGCCTGCCATCAACATGCTTGCACTTGAAATTTGTTAACGTCGGCAACTGGGAATTCCTTACTGAAAAACCTTTTGAAAACAGTGGTGTTTGTCGTCGAGCCATGGTGCACTAATGAAGAATCCAAGGGGTAATCAACTCTGCACACCTTAATCTGTGTCAAGCGTTGTTCCGATCATTCCGAAGCAGGCCGAAGTGTATAAATCAAAGTATCAATATCCCATGAGTTTGGCAACCCTGAAGTTAGACTTTTGTGATTGTGTCTACATTTTCAATTTCTCTAATTCGTGACCATGGTTCATGGCAAATATTAAGCTTCGTTCCAAGGGACAGCGTTTTGTGAGCTGAAATTCAAACAGTGCTAATCCCGACGGGAGAAATGTGAAATTTATTTCCAATTTTTACAACAACTATACAAAACCATATTGGAGCACTCAAACTCATGGTGTACTTTAACGCTATATAATTCAACACACTCACACTTTTGAATATAGTAACACGGTTAAATCGATTGTGCTTAGGAATAGTTCTACAACACTTTCGCTCAGGTTCCTAGTCCACTTCCAATTTCCGGAAGCTACCGGTGATTGTTTCCATGCCGAGTGCGCGTTCGTTATTGTTCCGATCTGTTCCATTCCGTGAAATAATGCTTCCATCACTGAGAATTGTCATTTTGTCCAACGCTAGAAGCGTGTCTCGCTTGGCCGCTAACTCTTGCTTCCACCATTCGATCATCTCGACCATTGGGATGTTGCCACCCATCTCCTTCGGCAGACATGCTGGATCGACCTTTCTGCATAGGTCTGACACGTTGACATGCACCTGGAAATGTTCGTTTAGGAAAAATCAAATTCTATCCAATAAATTCGTACTTACCTGAAAGCGATCTTTCATCTTCTTGCTGACCATCGACTTTCCAGCGTCGACCACGTATTTCACCGCCGATGGAACATTAACCAAGTGGACCTCTTTGTGACGCATCGGAATCGACTGTTCGCCCCACTTCATCATGCGTAGAAAATCGGTGGGATTCCAGCAGGAGACGTGTGCGGTGGTGATACCCTTGAAATCTCCAATGTGTACAAATCCCACAATCTGGTTCTGTTGATCCTCCTGTAGCGTTTCGTAGGTTAACGAGTGCACACGAGACATGTCCGAGCTGGTGTGTTCGTCTGGGTTGAAGTTTCCTTCAAAGACAATTATTTACAATAACCAAACAATGGCAACAGTTAATAGATAAACGGACGACATACTTGCAAATCCAATGATCAACCGTCTGCCGTGCTTGTCTCGAACTGGCGATGGGAATATGTAGCCGTTGTTGATTAGTTTGTTCAAGTTTGGCGACAGAAAGTCCAACTCGTACATCAAGTGCATGTGAACTTTGCGCAGATTTAAGTACTTCAGCACCATTTGCTGAGCCATGAAGACGCTGAACTTCTTGGTGCGGAGAAATTTCAGCAAGAACAAATCATCCGTACGAACGTTTTCGATCTCCTGGTTTTGCTTGAGCCATTCGCGCATCTGCTCCAGCGCCTGCTCGCGGATTGCCTTGTCTTCGCGTAGTTCTTTGCGGGCCACTTTCAGCACGGCTTCGCAGAGGCCCGTGTCCTGGTAGGAGTCTGCCTTTGATTTTTCATTGTTGTTGTTGTTGTTGTTGTTGCTACTGTTGCCCCACGGGAAACTCAGTATCACTTTGGTGGTCGTCATGGCTTGGTGTGGTTCGGCGGAGGCTGGCGTGTAGGCTCTGTAAGAGAAACAAGAATGAGGTTATGAGTTGTTGTAGGCTGTACGATTGTCAATAATTACGTAAGCAGTTTTTTGGAATTTTCAAACCTCCCTCCGCCCATTGTAAGACCTTGAAATATATTTTACAAAACCCTCCTCCCCCTTTGTAAGATCTTACATGGCATATTGAAATGTTCTGTTTATGACGTAAGCATGAACGTAAGATATTTATGAGACCCCCTCCCTCCCATGTAATAAAACGTAAGAAAATGTATAACACCCTCTCCCCCACCTATAAGTGCTTATGTAATTATTGAATGACCCCTAGAGACAGATCCTGCGTGACGTTACAACGGATTTTAAACGTTCTTATTTGTCATTTTTGGACTGGAACTGAGAAAAAATAAATAGTAACCCGTAAATATTATTGCAGATCAAGAGGTTCTGATTTAATGTTGCTCATAACGTTTTGGTGGGCAGTTGTTCAGTATTGTAGTTGAAAAGCGCAAAACGTTGTAACATCACGCTACATAGTCACTCATCAAATCATTTTGAGCTACTCAAATCATAAACTCTTGATCAATTGCTATATGAAATTTATCAAACTTTCCAAATCTGCATTAATATATAAACCATTGCGAGTGAAAATGGTACTGTAGAGTTTCGGATGTATTCAACCTATTAAACATGCGTTGTTACTTCTGATTTATCACTTTTTATTTTCTCGAACCATCTAATACAACCTCGTACTCTCAACGTTCGCTCACTTCTCTCCCTATCCGGAAATCCCACGTACCTCACATGACTTTATCAGGGTTGCCATGTTTCTACTGTTCTTTATTATATAATACAACAGGGTCGGAGTTAGGCTCGACCCGACATCCCTCCTTTACACAATGGTCATAAACTTCTTATGTCTGATAGTCCCTCAAATATCCCGGTACACGAAGCGAACGCGTTGGGCGGTAATCTGGTTTCTCTCGTTGAGATGAATCTAGAATGTCCCCGTGTTTTGCTTGTTGCGACGTGTTACCCTCTTCGGCTTCTGTTCCTTTGGTGCTGTCTTCTCCAGAAGATGTATTCTTCATCAAAGACTTCAGGTGGGCTGTATTTCTATGTATTACACGATCTGAGTCAGTCGATCGTAGTTTTGCATCTGACCCAGACAGCTTGATTATCTGAAATTCTTCAGGAGCAAATGTTGTTGATAGCTTATTTGTTTTATTTGTACGTTTAGCGACAACTATGTCTCCCTCTTTCAAAACCGTAAATCTTGCGCGGCGACGAGCGTTGGTGTATTCTGCATCATTGAGCTTTTTCGTCCAATCTCTATCGTGAATCTCCTCCTCATCCATTCGAACTCTCCTGTTTTCCATGCTTGGAAGTTTGTCTCGTAGAACACGTCCAAACATAAGCACAGATGGAGCTACTCCAGTTATCGCATGTGGTGTAGAGTTGTACATCAGCAGAAACGAACGTAAATCCCTGACCCAGTCTAGACTACCTGATTCCTGGCTAATTTTTAAGCGTTTGAGAATCGTCTTATTCGCGCGCTCAACTTCACCGTTGGCCTATGGTCAGTACGGAGTTGTTCTCCGAAGCTGAATGCCGTACTCTCTGCAATATGTTGCTAACTCTTCGTTAATGAATTGTGGGCCATTATCGGCCTTTATTGATTCTAGAATGCCAAATTTACAGAAAGATTCATGTAGTGCCTGGATAGTACGCTTGGCTGTGATTTGTTTCATTACCACAGCTTCGGTGAATCTACTGAAGTAGTCGACTATAACAAGTAGATTGTGACCAGACGGCAAAGGACCCATGAAATCCACAGCTATGTTTATCTATGGCTTCACTGGCATTTTTGTCCTTTGAACCGGTTTGGGAACTGCTAGCGATGAGACAAGCGTACACTGTTTACATCGTTTAACACAGGCTTCCACGGCTTTATCCATCAATGGCCACCATACTTTTTGCCGAAGACGACGTTTCATCGCTGCAATACCTGGGTGTGCTTCATGGGCCAGATCTATTACGCGGTCTCGTAATATCGTTGAAACAACTAACCGGTTTCCTCTGAGTAGTATGCCATCTACGTCACATAATTCGGTCTCGTACGGTTTATATTCTTTTGGTAATACCTCTCTTGATTCTGTCTCGAGAGCTTTCAAAACTGCTTGGATAGTGTCATCTTCCTTAGTTTCTTTGGTGATTTCAACAATACTTAAGGCAATTGGTATTGCTTGTTCGGCTACATTACGAATGTATTCTTGAGTTCCTGCATCAAACTGTTCCGGTGTATACACTGCCAATCGGGATAAAGCATCTGCAATGTTGGCTGATCCTCGTATGTGTTCGATATCGTAGCTGTAGGCCTGCAATCGTAGAACCCATGGTCCTATACGAGCGCAAGGTCGAGACCTGGGACTAAACAAGAACTCCAATGCCTTACAATCTGTCAACAATGTAAACTTTATCCCTTGGAGGTAAAGTTTGAACTTATCCACACGCCATACGAGTGACAACGCCTCCCTTTCTGTCTGAAAATATTTCTTCTCGATATCCGTCAGAGCCTTACTTGCATAGGCTATTACTCTGATTTGACCATAGGAGTCTTCTTGGAGTAAAACTGCTCCAAGGCCTGTTGGGCTAGCATCCGCAATGAGTTTAGTACGATTGCGGGGGTTGAAGAATCCTAGGTAATCAATGTTACAGATAACGGCTTTGATTGCTTGAAAATCTTTGCGTTCCTGATCTGTCCATTCAAATTGAACACCAGAACGGAGCAGCTTTCTCAAAGAATCAGTTTTAGTAGCCAGATCCGGAATAAATCGACCAACGTAGCACACCAGTCCGAGAAAACTTCTCAACTCGGTCACGTTTTGTGGCTCTCGAAATCTTTGGATTGCATCTATTCTGCTTTCCGTTGGACGAACACCATCAACAAATAGTGTGTGACCGAGAAATTCAAGTGACCTGACATTATACACACATTTCTTGTCATTCAACAACACTCCATATTCCGACAACCTTTGCAAAACAGCGTTCAACCTTCCATCATGTTCCTTTTGGGTTTTGCTATGCACAACAACATCATCGAGATAGACAATAACCCCGTCGAGCCCGGCAACAACTGATTCCATCACCTTCTGAAACACCTCCGGCGCACAGCTAACACCAAACATTAGTCTTTTGTATCTGTTTAACATCCCAAGTAACACAAAAAACATCTTTTTGAAAAATAATTAGAACGGCTTGTTGTATAAATGTATTATAAGAGATGCAGAAAACATCCCACGTTATATATGAGGTTTAAAGATGTTTTCTTCATACTTCTTTGATTCAACATTTTCCAAAATAGTTTTCTTTTGCTTTTATCTTTAAATGTTATTTGAACGTGCATCTTACTGTTTTAATACCACTATAAAACATGTCGTATACAAAATCAATCCAGATTTACGTAAACATTGACGGTGCCATATTGAGCCGGACTGTCTCTTCATGCAGTGATTGACAGTTTCTTATGAGGTATTCGGAGGTTTGTTATAAAGAAAGTTGAAAATACTTTTTTATAACATCTCATAAATTAATACAACTGAAAATGTGCAGGTTGTCTTATAAGGAGTTGAAAATACGTTTAAATAACATTCTGGCAATTAGATGTACGCTTTGCTACTAACAAAACGTCTCCATGACGGATCGAAGGCGTGTTGAACGAGAAAATAATTTTCATGCCATTGACAAGAACATGATAGATACTTATAACAATCCTTTCATCAAGCGGTGTTGGTCTAGTTAGGTAATAACAAGTCTACCACTCTAAGGACCAGTGATCGAAACCCATGCTCAAATTTTTTTTATGGTTTTTTTTGTCAATTGTTTTTAAGATGTTTTCAAAACATGTTATAAGACCAGTATTTAGTTGTATAAGCTCCGCGTCTTGCGCTTTTTAGGTTGTATAAATGTATTAAATGATGTATATTAAAGTATTAGTGATTCTTTGCGTTAGTCATTACAAAGTATTTTCAACTTCTTTATGACAAGCCGTGTTGCTTGGGATACGTATGTTTATTTTAGCAAAATAAGAAACGACAAGAAAAAAAAATACCCAACGTTAGATTATTGCAGAATAAAAAAACAACAACTTTATTAACTCTCATCAACGATTTGCTTCAATTCAATCTACCTGAATAGTCCGTGTTTAGTGATGAAGGTAGTGATGACCTTGGATTTTTCAGAAATTTCCACTTGATGATAAGCATCCTTGATATCAATCTTCGAAAAACGCACTGCTCCATTCACCGAACTTAACAATTCATCCACCAATGGAAGGGGATGAGTTTCCCGTAAAACTGCTCCGTTTGCTTGACGCATATCGATGCAAAGTCGAATTTCCCCTGAGTCTTTGGTAACTGGGACCATTGGAGAGACCCATGGTGATGGACCATTCACTCGTTCAATAATGTCTTGTTGAAGGAGGCAACGCAATTTTTCTTCAATCTTTTGTTCCAAAGCAATTGGCGGTCGTCTATAGGGTTGTTGTACCGGTTGTACTTCAGTATCGATAGGTATTTCCACGACTACGTTCCTAAACTTTGGAAACATCTTCAGTTGTCGGTTCTCAACTGCTCCAACATTGAAACCAACTTTCAGAACCTGAAGATTCTTAGCTGTGCGATCTCCGAGAAGACACTGTTGCCCATCGTCGGCAATGTAAAGTTTAGGATGTATTCAACCTATTAAACATGCGTTGTTACTTCTGATTTATCACTTTTTATTTTCTCGAACCATCTAATACAACCTCGTACTCTCAACGTTCGCTCTCTTCTCTCCCTATCCGGAAATCGCACGTACCTCACATGACTTTATCAGGGTTGCCATGTTTCTACTGTTCTTTATTATATAATACAACAGGGCCGGAGTTAGGCTCGACCCGACAGGTACCACCAAAGTAAATTTTACAGAAAATGCTCTTATTCAAAATACTCTGATAATAAAATGAATTCATCAAATTTTCAC